ATTGGACTTTGGGATGTTTTGTACCAACCCGAAAACTTTCAGACCTCCAACTTGGGTGAAGAATGATTGATTTCCAAATAAATTCCAATTGAAATTTGAATTGCAATATATGAAACTTGAATTTTTGGTGTTTTGTGCAAATTTTAAAAATTCAACATTTCAAAGTTTAACTTATGAAATGTGAGTAATTGGTCAAATAAAAGTTTAAATTGGGTACTTCTCACATTCGAAAATTTGTATTGGATAATTAAGGATGTTTTATTCAACATTTGTAAGGTTTAGCTTATAATTGTCACATCAACATGTAGATTTCACCGTTCAATTTATCAAAATTTTAACATTTGTGTTCTAAAAGAATAATTTTGAGGAAATTTATTATCAAAAAAAATTCTGATAACTTAAAATTAACTCATGTTGAACAATTTGTAGCTAACTTCTTTAAATAAAAAAATAAAAATATATATATATTGGAATTAAAATGTTTTTCTTTCTTTTTCTGTAGATGCCCCCCAGAAAGAAATCCTGAGCAAGTTCATCATTTTCTGATCCTTCTGATACCGATATAGATAGACCCACAATTTTGGCCAGAATTGTGGGTCTTAATGTTCATTTTGAGAGGGGTTTTCAAATGAGTGCATTACAGACATATCAATCCACAATAACCATGTTAACTGCAGTAGGTCTTAGGAGCATGATGGCTAAACCCTTTACAGACATATCAATCCACAATAACCATGTTAACTGCAGTAGGTCTTAGGAGCATGATGGCTAAACCCTTAGAGAAAGCAAACATTTCATTAGTCCAGTTAACTGCAGTAGGTCTTAGGAGCATGATGGCTAAACCCTTAGAGAAAGCAAACATTTCATTAGTCCACGAGTTTTATTCTGGATGGGAAATTGATCCAGATAGAGAATTTTTAGCTTTTTCTATAGTGAGGGGTGTTAGGGTTATTTTCGATCTTCCACTATCCGTGCTACCATTGATCTTGTAGAACCACCCACTGATGTATCAGATTACTTCCACTTAGCCTCCACATTATAGCCTGGTACACCAGAATACAATAACATGTCTACAACCTTGTATGGGAGGATCTTTACATCTAATTTCGGTTCAGGAAATCTCAAACCAAAATACAGATTACTTAATCTTTTCCTACACTTTGATTTGAAACCCACCACTGCATATTCTGTCATTACCCCCCACGACATTCTCCTTCTTTATTGGATAGCCACTGGTCAGCGGTTTGATGTAGCAAAGATTATATTTGTATGGATGCGCTCATCAGTGGAGGGTGTGTTGGATTAGGTCAAGACACAGTCTGCATTACGAACTCAGCTCATTTACCCCTATTTCATCCTAGACTCTGCCATAGATTTTATGTTCTAGTATTTGCAGAGGATATGTTAGAAGCAGGGAAGGGGTTACTAAATGATCAGACTGTGAGGAGGAGCATTTTAGGGCGAGATCAGTCCAGTCCTTCAGGTAGAGAGCCTCCTCAGCACCAGTCAGATACACATGACCCCATTCGAGAGGAGATGGATAGGATGCGGAGTCGTATGGACAGGATGCAGTGGTAGATGCACGAGATGCATGGTCAGATAGGCTACTCAACCGAGTCCTTGGCATATTTGGTGAGAGGATGGCAGAGAGAACATGGAAATACAGATGGACCTCCACCTGAGCTTCATAGTTTTATCACACCATTTCAGCCAGATGATTTCCCAGGAGAGGATGAGGCAGGACCGAGTTCAGCAGCTGCTGCTGATGATGTGGATGGCGATATATCAGGAGATGAGCAGTGAGGGATGTTCTTTTTATTTTACCCAGTCTTTGATTTTTATTTCGGCATGTACTTATTTGGATATTATTTGCTTGCCTTGAGGACACTACAAAATCTGGGTATGGGGGTGTAAGCTAGTTAGTCTTTTGTTTGTATTTTGCTAGTTAGTATTTTGTTTTAGTATTTTTCCAGCATTTATCTTTTGTTAGTTTTAGTAAAAATAAAAATAAAAAAAATAAAAATATTATCACTTGCCAAATTAATAGAGTTAAGTAATAATTGATCTAATGGATAAATTTTAAATTTTCTAAATCCTAGTTAGTGATATACTCAAGTTCACCTTTTATGATAACTCCAAATAAAATTCTAAAGAAATAATTTTTCAACTAGTATACTTTACTTAAGTCTTACCTTAGACTTTTAATTTAAAATAATAAAATTTTTGCATGCTTAACTTAGAGTTGAAAATATTTTTTTTTCAAGTTATCTTGATTTACACATTTTTTTTCAGACTATATATACTTACACACACATATATATTAAAAAACTAATCTTATAAAAGAAGAGTGCGAAAAATGGCCAAAAAAAACTCTTAAATTCAATGTGATTTTATCTTATTAGGCCTAAGTTGACTGAGTAATTAAGCTCAATGAGTATTTCTATACTTAATGACTTAAGCCCAATTGGGTTGGGATTCATTGGCCCAAAACTTGTTAAATGGTCACTTAGAAAGCCCGTTAAAATAGAAAACAATCACCAAGAATTAGAGAGTGAAGAAAAAAATATACATATATATCTATAACACTAACCATTTTTTATATATATTGTTATTTTGTATATATGGTATTGAAAAACAATTTTTGATCAAGAGACTTGAAAGTTATTTAAAACAAAGAGTTAGCATGTTCTTTTCAAAACTTTTAAATTAAATCTCTAAGATTTGACTTGGTTTTGTATTGCTATAATAAAAAAGATTTTCTAAGAGATTTACATTGGAGTTATATATAAAAACATTTTCTTGATTATTAACTAGCTTCAATTAGAATGTCTAAATATATCAAAGAAAAATAGTTATTTACTGACTTATTTAACTTGGCAAGTTGACCAAATTTTATGGGTATATTTGATAAAAAGAGAATAGTTTATATTTTATAATTGAGATTAGCTAGTGGATTCAATTCTAGATTTCTCATATCTTTAATTGAATCCTCCATCTTTTGTTTTCTTGATTTTTCTCTTTTTATTCTTGCTTTTATTTTATTCTTTGATTCTTTCTTCTCTCCTCTAAAATTTAATTTATTGTCACTTGCATATATTCAAAACCATCACTTATCATATCTCTTTTTATAATCACACTTATTCTTTAATCCTATTTTTGTCACGCACAAAACATAAGAACCATCTAATAATCTCTTAAAATCATCTTCCTCGTGGGATCGATAACTTTTTATACTATAACTTGATCAATTGTGCACTTATAATTTTGGTACATAATTATGCCGCATCAAAGAGACGTCATCATCTCTTCTATAAGTTGAACTTTGGCCAATGCACATATCTTGTACTGTGGAAGAACGAATCCACTCATCATCTTCAAACTCGTCGGGGGGTGGTTTTTCGTACTTAACATATCCATTATTAGCATTGGCCTCATCAAGCTAATCGAGATTCTCTTCAACATCTTCAGTCATAAATTGCATGCTATTAATTGGTGCACTATCTTACTCTTCACCTTTAGAGTCGTTGCTTCTTTCATCCTCTTCAATTGTTGCCCCTCTTAACGGCCTCATATTTTCATAAGGGATGTCATTGTTCATGACATTTGATGTTCCCCCGAATGAAGGTACACTTAGATATTAAAATTGAGTATGCTCCATTTTACTTGAAGAAGAAAGAAAACCATCGGATTCAACTCCCAAATTTAACAGGGGTGAGAATTCTCCTGGAGGTTTGAATATTTGGCACGAACTATATGACAACTTTTTAATAAACAATTCTACCGTTGGTTGTGACTTGCTCAAATTAAACATAATACTCATATGATATTCGTTTGAGATCTTAACTGCGGACGTTCTATCAGAAGTTATGAGCCAATTGCATATTATTTTTAGTCGGTACTCTTGTGGGTCGATTTTCGTTACTTGGTGTAATTCCTTAATTAAGTCACGATAACTATATGATTCCGAGATCATTAACGGCGTCATTACCCCTATGACGTACATTGGCATATTATTCATTCCATAATTAATTTTCCCACAATAAGAGTAAACAATAAAAATCATATTGTTCAATCTATGCAAAAGAAGATTATATCATTTAAATACAAAAAAATTATAAAAGTTAATCAGGGCATTGAATAAGAGAGGAAAACCAAAGATGCAAATAATCTCATATAATTTTGACCAAAAATCCTAAACCCCAAAATGAAAATCCTAAACCCTAGAATTGAGCATTCTATGCCCTAGAAGTTTAATTTCAATTACAACAATCAACACGCAAAGCATTCGAGCCACCACAAAGAGAGTGATTGATAATAAATTTTAAACCCTAGAAATTAGATTTTGATAGAAAACCCTAGATTTTTACATGTTAAAAGAGAAGAGAAGAAAGAGAAATTACCCGAGAGATCTTAAGCAAACTTTAATGATAAATTTCGGTCGTAAAATAGGATTGGGAGAAGTGGGTAGGTGGTTGAAAGAGAGAGAGAGAGAGAGAGAGAGAGAGAGAGAGACTGGAGTTGGAGAGGAGAAAAATTGGGATTTTGGATTGGATTAAAATGTGAGATTAAAATTGTGAATAAGTTCATTTCAAAAATTTCTTCTTTTAGCATATCCTTATATACCTGCCCACCCATTTCAGGACAAACAAAACTATCATAAAAACCGAATTTGACCTCCGAATCCAATGCCTTTACGCCTCCAACCAAATTAAGTCACTTTCTCAATTAAGAGTTCCCGTCACCGCCTCCCCCCCTATCACCACTGCCATTTCGCGAGAGCCCTCCTTAACCCGCAACAAAGACGAAATCAACCCGTCAGCGGTAATTACTCGGCGGAGCACCGGACCCCACGAAGGGGATACTGAACAAAAAAAAAGCCAAACTTCACGACATTTGACCCCCCCTCCGTTTTCTTTGGGCTCTTGTAAGAATCCCTCGTCTCTCGTCTCTGAGGTCTGGGCAATGGCGGATTATGTTCCATTAA